TCACTCCCATTCGTCCAGCTTCTTTTTCAGCAGCACGAGCACCTCTGACTACGTAAGGTATAGCACTCTGAAATATTCCAGTGAAAAAAGAGCCTAATCCATGCCCTCTCTGTCTATATGATCCTGCAAACACATGCTCGACTCCTCTTCCTCTTCCATGCTGTGTATAATAAAGTAAAGCCATCGTAAAAAACCATTTTATAACGACTCGCTTAAAAGAAAACATTTATAAAATTTAACACCACGGTCAGTGTCCCAAACTCAAATGATATTGGCTTACCAAATTGATCTCTTATATCTATATCGATCATATTACATCTATTATTGAGTAGGGGTATGTAGGCTGGCGGAGTATACCTCTTGACAATTGAGCTTCCGAAATCAATTTTCTGAGCGGCTTGATTTACTATCTTCAACAGGGGTAAAAACGTATCACTAACAATACTTGATTTACATATATTAGAATGGATAAAAAGTTGATCGGGTACTCTTAATAGGCTTGCTGGTTGTTTACCATGAAACAATAGCCTGTGCTCCCCTCTTATTTCGGCAAAATCACGTTTTATCTCTTTTAATCCTTTCTCAAACCCAATAACGTGTTTTATTGTAGTTGATATCAAAACGTTAAATTTTTTAGGGTATCCTACCCAACTACCAAAGTGCTGTTTGTTTTTTCCTTTTTATTGTTTTCAAGATCTTGTTAATTTTATGCTCCTGCTTCGAGATACGCTCTTTGTAAACAGGATTTAGTTCTTAAGACTAAAAAATCCCTTAATTTTTTACCATCCTAACCACTAAACTTATACACATTTACATTCTGTCTTTTTTAAATTCGAGTAATTTTAAATATCTCTTCACTCCATGTTTTTACTGCACTTTTTTTAAACACATTTTTATCGTACGTCGGCTTATGCGTACATAATCAACTACTTTATGTCAAATTATTATACATTGACCTCTTTCCATCCAAATTACGCCATGTATACTTTTTACAGAAACGTCGCGTCCACTTTTAGAGTGAACACTACATATACTTTTATTATTTACAAAAGAGTTGTAGTATCTTATTCGGATTTTGGAAGACTGCATATCATTTTTTTATTTATATATTATATCATTCTCAATATTTACAAGTATAGAATTTTTCAAAATAAAATTTTAGACCAGTGACCCCCCTAAAAAAAGCATAAATATTAGTTGCAAGGTTTATTTGCAGTAACTTTTTTTTAAAATTCAGTAAAAATTCATTGGTTATTTCTTATTACCACTGATACTATCCACCACAACTTGACAACTGGAACATGGTATTTGCGGACTTCCACGTTTAATATTCCAGAAGGCATTATAATATACATCACTATCCTGCTATGATGCTTTTAGAAATGAAGTTTTGATGATTTATGCTTTTAAAAAACACGCTCTATTTAGTACAGAAAATAACTGTTTGTTTTTGAATACGTTTTTGCGCATGTATTAGACATATTAGTAAAGCAGTTTTTTTATTTCTATTTTCATGCATTGTAAATGAGGTATGAATTTGCGATAAGTCATGAACCTCACATTCTAATATCGAACTTATGAACTCGGCTCCATCATTATCATACATGTGAATTCTCTTGAGATTTTTAGTAAGTTTAATAAGGATATTTTGAATCATTTGTCGTAACATCACCTTCAAACCACTCTATCCCGTGGACCTCTAGCGTGCGGTGATTATTGTATTTTTTGACATTGTAAGATACATCTTTCAATGAGTGGATTGGTTTAACTAACAGCTCAAAAATTAAGAGTGAGAACTTATCTTAACCTACGGTGCGAGTGAATGCACGGCTCCCCGGTAGCTTAAGTGATAAGGCAACTGTCTAGTAAACAAGAGGTTATGTGTTCGATCTTCACCTGAAAAGGATTTTTTCTCATTTTTATTCATTTCTTTAGAAAATTTGTGAATTTTTACTATGGATCTTTAGTATATTTGCCATCGAAAAGGACATGAATGGATTTAAGAGTGCTTACATACAAGTGCCACCATCCATATATGCACCAATTGATACGATGATAAATGTATCAATATTGCTTGTATACCTCTTAGAGTCATATTAGATTTCTAAGAATAAGTAAGCTTAGATATAACTATAGAATGGTACGTTTTTAAAATTTATAAGGATTAGTATAATTTTTATATTGTGTGCTTTTATACAATATATGTATCAAGTTTCATTCGTGCATTGATATGAAGGCTTGAAATTTACATTCATTAGTATAATTTTAATATTGTGTGCTTTTGTATGACATGTGTATCAAGTTTGTTGTTTACGAGCTCATGTGTAAGCTTAAAATTTTTATTCATTAGTATAATTTTTACATTGTACCCTTTTGTATAATATACGTACAAAATATATTTTATAATGGTTTTTATTTAAAAAACGTTTGCCCTAGTTATAGGACTTTGAAACTTCTGTTAGGTTTTTAAAATATATATATATTGCGGTTTTAGAATTCAGAAGCGATGAAAACAATGAAAAGCAGTTGATTTTAATATTTGAGATACAGCTTAAAAACAAAAAAAAACATCAGAAGTATTTGGCAGATTTGTATAACATAAAAATGCTTTCTAAAAATGAATTGATTGTTTAAGGAGAAGATTTTTGTCAAACTCTTTCAGTTAAAAATGAAATGTAACTTAAGCATTGCAGTAAATGAGACTGTTAATTTTTATTTAATATTTGAAGATGTTGAGAAATTAGATAAAAAAAATTATATACATTTTCTCATAAAAATAATAAACAGCATTCTTGAAAGCTTGTCACCTCATGAACTTCAACTGAAATTATAAATAAAAGTGATATAAATTGGAAACTTAAGTATATTAGACGGTTTCTATAATGCTACACGATTAAGATTCAATAACTTGAAAATAAAGTTTTCAAGTAACTTTTATTAAACCTGTTTGTAGAAATTATTTTGTGATGCCCACTAAATAATTATAGGCTAAAATATTTTAAATCCAATTGTATTGTAAGTACGTAAGTTTTCCCAGCTTTCAATGATAAGGTGTTCTACTAATTAGTTTTGTTGTATTAATAGTATTAATGTTATCTAATTTATCTCAACTATTCCAAATGTAACCTAAAGCTGTTTTATTTCTACAATGAAATGTGAGTTGTGATTGGAAATATCATAATATGGTGGTTGACACAATATGGCGAATATACTTTTTCTTCACCCGTCAGGAATATGTTTAACATTTCAATTGTGTAAAATCAAATAAGAAGAATAATTGTTATTAGCATATGTCAGTTGCCACAGTACTTGTATTTTTATGGCCACATGTTCAGGTTTTGATTACGGTTATTAGTCCTTATTTAGCAATAAGTCTGTTACCTTAAAAATACGTGTAATTACATTCGAAAAATTTTTTTTGGAATGTTAGAAGAGGGGATTGCAAAGATGTTTTATTATTATAAATTACTGATAAATAAATTTATCACTTTGTTTTCAAATGAATAATACCAAACGGTCATTATTGAGACCTGTATCGCCTACACTTTTCTTTTAATTTACTTAGTTTTGTTAAACACGTTCATCTGCATGATCTAAATTATAGTGACTACGTTTATTGTTGTTATCATCTCATAAATGCACAACACTACTAAAAGACAAAACTTTCTTGCTTATTTTTTATTAAGTGTGTAATTTTAAATTTTATCTTACTTAAAATTTTTTTAAACTTAGATCAAAGACATTTTTTTGTTGCTAAAAATTATTAGACAAAAATTAAATGAAATCGTATAATTTTTAACTGTAGTATAACAATATATTGATAATAGTATATTGTTAAGGTTCTAAATTTTGCTGCAGATTTATGCAATAGATCTTTGAAAAATCTTCTACGAGCCATTTAGTGTTCCAGAGGAGATACACAGCAAGTTATTAGGTTCGCGAAAATCAATCGTAGGTTGCTATTGATAGCAACATGCATCAGATGCTATTGTAATTTTTTTAATTTGTTTTGCGATGGTGTTTTTCTGTATAAAAACGAAAAAAATCAATAGAATTGTAGAAATTGTTTACTTTGGCAAAACACATGGTCTTACGTTATAAACCAAGTAAATTTAAAAGAGAATTATAAACCAAAACCACGTTTTTTTCCCTAAGCGCATTATACTAGAAAAATCAATATAAATTATAATAATGCATTATATATGCAACACACAATACGTAAAAAGTAAGTATACAAGACACGGGAACATTTGAATAATATTTGTCATTATTTATTTGAACACAAAGCAATAAATTTATTAATAAGTAATGTATGATATTAAACTGACTTTGAAAGCCCGTCGTCTAACATTCCAAAAAAAAATTTTTTTAAATGTAATTATACGTATTTTTAAGAAAAAAGCCTTATTGCTGAATAAGCACGAATAACAGTAATCAAGACCTAAACATGTGACCATAAAAATACAAGTACTGTAGCAGTCGACTTTTTCTAACAACGATTATTCTTCCTGTTTGATTTTATACGATTAAAAGTTTAATCATACTTCTGCTGTGGCAGCTGCCATATCAGACTAAGTGTAGAGCCACTTAGTTGTATATGCTCCACAAAATTTTTAAGTCGTATTATTTGATGATACAACTCCTATGATACTCATATCATAGGAGTTGTATGATCCGTCATTTTGTATTGACCACCATATTGAATGGGAAACGGCGTTTAACTTATGATGGTTCAACATTATTTGTGACCCTTCAATTTAGCATAAATTTCCATAGGGGGGTCCGTAGATCCCTCACGACTGATTTTATTATTATTATTATTATTAGTATTATTATTAATGTTGTTACTGTTATTTTTTTATTTGTATCATTATTCTTACAACTATCAAATATCATTAAATAAAGGTAGGACACGATCTTTTTAAATAATATTGTAGTATATTAATTGGGTAATCGAAATTTAAATGGGTGATAACAAAATTAATCAAATGAGGCTCAGCATCACTTTATTGAAATAACAACTGTTTGACAGTCAAAGTCTGATAATTGTGAAAGCAATTAAATGTCACAGTTTGTAGATAAATGTATTGCTAATAGATTTACATTGTTCAGGTCTCACATAACCAGTCACAAGGAAGTTTGGGCATTTTATTAGCTGGCCAAGGTAGAAATCCTGATGTTTTGAATACCCAATAATCATAAGATACTTTTATAATGATGCTAATTAATAATAGAATTTCCGACGCAATGATATAATAAATGTAGTCTGTCCAGTCTGCAGGATAAACACACATCTTTGTCGAATCTAAATCAATTACTCTTTCCTTGACATTTTCACACAGCACCTCATCATAATCTAATACTTTGGTCTGTAACCACATCTTTCAAAAAATAGCAACAAATACAATCTGTTATTTAAAAAAATCCAACAAAAGCATACATGTTTAATCATAATTTATCAATCACCTTTAAATATTTGGCTGTATTGCAGTCGCAATGTAACTCATTTCCTCCAAATTTTACACCGTATTTGTTACTAACATAGTTCTTGTCATTCACGTTACTGACCCACAAGTATGTTGGAAGCTAAAAGTAGTAAAATAATCTAAATTTTTACTACAATATCATATCAAATTTATTGAGAAACTCGAATTATTGTAATTTTTTAAATGTATTACATTACAAATTTCATACCGATTTTATTTTGTTATGCCTCAAGCTAAGATAGGCATAGCTATCTAAAAATTTTGAGCCTTCTAGTTTATTTATTGATGATATGTCGTTATGATCAGCTATGAATTCACGAAGACTATCGTAACTTGGATTCGTGCTTAGCTCATCAAGACTGGTAATCTAAAAAAATACTGCTAATAAACAATAATTAGATAATAAAAAATATTGTTAACTAGATGACAAGAAAGATTGGAATACACACATTATTGTACGCTACATTGAGGGATATAGCGTTACGTGGCAATTTCTGTGGAAGCTGCTTCAGCTGCATATTACTGCAGTCGACACTTACGGCAAATGTTGGCATTTTATCTTTAAGTAGTTCTAGTCTGCTGAACTCACAAATGCACTGCCAACTGTCACCTCTAGGACATTCAGTTTGTAGCTGCAACGAAATAAAACCCACCAAAATTTCTCGTAAGATGAAAATAAGCGTACAGATGAAAAAATAAAAGTTTTATTAAAAAATTAGTATAAATACATTTATTAATTTAAATTAACTCACAGAACTTAGGTAGCGCACTTGTTTCAAAGGAACTTGTGCGGTGGCATTAAACCAATGCCAAGTTTTGCTCGATGAACAAACAGTCTCGTTCTCTCGATTAAAAACTATTTGATTCTCTGCAGTTTTGTTAATATTTTGATAAATATCATGGCACAATAAGGTACTTGATCCTGTAAAAATAATACAAATAAGAAATGCAGTAATTTTCTACTAACAAAGATTGTTTCTAACCTTAAATTTTTATTTTAAACAACTAATATTTCATCTACTAATACATAACATAAGGACAACGTGAAATGAAAGAGAAAACTTCCAAAACAAACATCAAATATGGATAATGCAATTTGTCTGACCCCCGAATTAGTCTTGAAGTCACTCTTCTTTTTTTAGTATCATGCTCTTTATATTTACAAATTCGTGCTAATAGTTTAAAGTCCCATCGACTGTGATGCAAGCAAAAACACTGTCTGTTTGTGTGCAAACGAGAAGAACTGTGAAGCTGGTGTGCAACATGAGATCTAAATATATATGAGATAATCTACGTCAAGTTAGACGGTCGATGAAAATCTGTTGTCGAAACATATGCCAATTAATAGTCCGTAAAAAATTTATACCGTAATGTTTTTTAACTTTTTCACCTACACAATTTTTTACGATACATTACAAGGTCTACTTGCAACAATTTTTTTGTATCGAGTTTCCTCAAGTGTACTTAACATTGAACGTCAAAACAGCCTCACTTGACATTATTTTGATCAGGCTTAATAATTTTTTCTATCAGATAAAAAATTTATTATGGTAGATACAGTATACTGATAACAAGTCTGCAGTCAAATTTCCAGAATGGAGGGTTTAATGTGGTAGGTAATTTTTAGAAATTTAAAAATAAATAAAAAAAATTTTATCGTAATCCTTATCTTAAAATATGTGGACAATTTTTCTTCTACTTCTTATTTCAATGCGTTTATCTACAGTAACAAATGTATAAAGTTTTTAACTTATGAATCATGTCATGTTCCTCATATTTTGTACATAAAACTTTAGAAAGAATCATGATGAAATATTTTCGATTGCTAATTTTAAATCTAGTGCTCAATTTTCTATTAATAAAATGGTAGATCAAATATATTAAAAACTATCAACAAGTGCATCATTAATAATACAAATATTTTTTCAGCTTATTTCGTAAAAATAAAAGTTTATCGTAGCAGACAACATTTTTTTAAATAATTTCGGAATAACATTTGATCTACATCATTAAACTACCGTTTTAATCGATAGAAAAATAGCAAAAAATATTTTCTCTTAAAAAATGTGTATGCAAACAAGAAATGGCAAAATGCATTCCTAACAAAAATTGCATGTAAAACATAGTACGAATTTAAATTCAAACAATCAAAGGTCTGTCACATTGGCTTGCCATGTTGTTTATAAAAAATTAAACAGTACAGTAGCAATTAGAAATTCAAAAAGTTTCTTGTTCAAACAAATTTGCATACTGATTCTATTAGCAGATTAATGTAGAAAGTGAATATTAGATCTAACGTGAATTGGTAAATATAAATTTAATGAATTTTTTACCCTGAATAAATGCGTTTAATTCAAAAAGCACTACACGCAACTTTAACTTCTATTAAAGATATTTTTCTATATAATATGCAGTTTGCAGCATTCATCGAAACATTCAAATTACCATGGGAGTGTTTAAGGATATGATTTTACTGCTGGTTATATACATATATACATCTTTGGAGGGTCTTTCTGCTTATTTCGATGCAGCAGCTGGTGATTTAATTGTTGGAGCTTCTTGTCTGACTCCTGGTGAGATTTTGTGTTTTATTGGATTTTGGCTTTTAGAAGGTACTATACAAATGGTAATTATTATGGACACATGTATTGGCTCAGTGTTACATAGATACTTTTCCAATTTAGTAAAATAAATACCTTTCTAAAGCCTTTAACTAATATCTCTGTGTATTTGTAATATTTGATTCAACTTTAAAATACATCTGTTAAGTTTACATCATTCAAATTGCGTCTACTGCCTTATTTACGTATATTTTTCAATTTACTTGTTAACTAGTTGTCCAACTGAATAGACTTTTCTGGTTGAATAAAATCAGTCAAGATTGCGTTAACAAAATGTATACAGTAATACTTTGGCTATGTCAACCAATCGTGAGTTGTGATTTTTAATTTCTCTATGAAAATTTTATTTAAACTCCATTTAATGTAAAGTATGTGTAGAAAAATTACTGTTCTCGGTCAATATTTATATAAACTATCGCCAATTGCTGGGGGGATTGAGTTGCCAATTTTTCTTACTATGGGGATTCTGATGGGTTTGGTGTAGCACTTTAACTTCATGCATCTAGCAATTATTATGTTATTGCTATCTGTTACTTTCCATGACACATGCTAACAGTAAGATATTGTGATTAATCTTGTATCAAGTTGGGGAAAGACTGGATTAGTTATTTTTAAATTTTCATAAACATACAATCCTACTCATTGTTCTGGATATCACTATAAGAGTAAAAATTTCTTAGGGTTTATCCCAGTACGCAAGAAAATCATTAAAATTTATTGAAAAGTGGTATATAACCATACGCCCAATCTATGTTACAACAAACTATAGCATATTGCAATGGCCAGCCTGTAAACTATGATTTATTAACGTCACGTCATGAAATTAATTGCATGTGTAGCTCACTCGACATTAAGTAACATTCAAAAACAAAACCACTCGCCCGCTACATTTGATCCGCCATTACGAATTTGCAAAATTACATTTGTCTATTCCGATATTTGATGGCACCTAGCACCAGTTTTTTGCGGTAATAGAGTTGGTCGCAATGCCAAGTCTTGTTTGAGCCAAGTCACTTACTTCAGAGCTCATACTGCTGAGTAGTAAAGATTAGTACAGTTTTTAAATGTTATTTTTTAAATCTCACACAGTACTTTTGAGATTGATTAAAAAAAAACTTTTTTTAATAATGTAAAATATTGAGCGAAAAAAATTCAAAATTTCAGCAATTTATTCAATAATTTCAGGTCAATGAGCTTACTTAAGTGTGAATATTGCCTATACGTTCTTGGAACTACGGAAAAATTAAAAATTAAAAAAAAAAAAAAAAAAAAAAAATCGAATGTAGTGTATAAAATATAGTTATATAAAAAAAATCATTACGTACGCCACCTTAAAGAGCATACGTACGGTATAATTATATGTTGTTTTATCTGTGACCGAAAATTTATAAGAGCAACACATTTACGGCGTCATTTAAATATACATAACCCGAGATACATAAGAAAAAGTTAGAGATACGAAAATTTAACCAGTGTTAGATTAACATTTTCATTAAGAGAAAACGTTTTAAAAAATGGTTCTGTGTGGTGTAACAACTTTTTTAGAGCCATTTTTCTGAAGGACTTTTTTTTAGTTTATTTGACGGTTTGCAAAAAGTTAACATCTGGTCGTCTTGAAAAATGGTTTGTTTGTTAAGGATAATAAAACCCATGTTCTGTTAAAATTTGAAGTCAAAATATTAATTAGAACTCCAGTTATGAAATACCGAAGAACAGGATAATATTGGCACTTTTTTTACAAAATGGTAAGGCCGATTTGGGTTTACTAGGACTCATTTTGTTCGTCTTGAAAATGTGCATCTTTTTCATATGGAACTTTTTTGGCTAAATTACAGCTTTTCCGATGGAAGCAAAAACCTGATTTTGCCCTTTTTACCATTTTTTTGGTCCCTTTGATGACACTTTTTTGTGTCCAAAAGTGATTACGTTTGTTATCGGGCTCGAGATCCATAGAAACCACTGAAGCTTTCATGACAACCATAATTAACTCATCTGAAAGGTATTTATTATAATTTTTATGTAATTATTATTATTACATATCAATTTCTGTGGAAGCTGCTTCAGCTGCATATTACTGCAGTCGACACTTACGGCAAATGTTGGCATTTTATCTTTAAGTAGTTCTAGTCTGCTGAACTCACAAATGCACTGCCAACTGTCACCTCTAGGACATTCAGTTTGTAGCTGCAACGAAATAAAACCCACCAAAATTTCTCGTAAGATGAAAATAAGCGTACAGATGAAAAAATAAAAGTTTTATTAAAAAATTAGTATAAATACATTTATTAATTTAAATTAACTCACAGAACTTAGGTAGCGCACTTGTTTCAAAGGAACTTGTGCGGTGGCATTAAACCAATGCCAAGTTTTGCTCGATGAACAAACAGTCTCGTTCTCTCGATTAAAAACTATTTGATTCTCTGCAGTTTTGTTAATATTTTGATAAATATCATGGCACAATAAGGTACTTGATCCTGTAAAAATAATACAAATAAGAAATGCAGTAATTTTCTACTAACAAAGATTGTTTCTAACCTTAAATTTTTATTTTAAACAACTAATATTTCATCTACTAATACATAACATAAGGACAACGTGAAATGAAAGAGAAAACTTCCAAAACAAACATCAAATATGGATAATGCAATTTGTCTGACCCCCGAATTAGTCTTGAAGTCACTCTTCTTTTTTTAGTATCATGCTCTTTATATTTACAAATTCGTGCTAATAGTTTAAAGTCCCATCGACTGTGATGCAAGCAAAAACACTGTCTGTTTGTGTGCAAACGAGAAGAACTGTGAAGCTGGTGTGCAACATGAGATCTAAATATATATGAGATAATCTACGTCAAGTTAGACGGTCGATGAAAATCTGTTGTCGAAACATATGCCAATTAATAGTCCGTAAAAAATTTATACCGTAATGTTTTTTAACTTTTTCACCTACACAATTTTTTACGATACATTACAAGGTCTACTTGCAACAATTTTTTTGTATCGAGTTTCCTCAAGTGTACTTAACATTGAACGTCAAAACAGCCTCACTTGACATTATTTTGATCAGGCTTAATAATTTTTTCTATCAGATAAAAAATTTATTATGGTAGATACAGTATACTGATAACAAGTCTGCAGTCAAATTTCCAGAATGGAGGGTTTAATGTGGTAGGTAATTTTTAGAAATTTAAAAATAAATAAAAAAAATTTTATCGTAATCCT